GTGCAGCTCGTAGTCACGCTGTGCTGCAACGTGCATCAACACCCGAAGAGTAGTCATCTTCGAGGTGGGGGAGAAGTTCTGGAAGAAGTCGACCCCCTGTCGCTGACTGAAGCCTCGAGCAACGTAACGCGCCTTGAAGACAGGCGCAGAACCAGGCGGCCGCTTCACTCTGAAAATCCACATGCCATCGACTATGTTCGCCCCAGGAGGAGGAACCTCGTCGACGTAGGTGCCTGTGGACTTCCAGGAAGCCATCTATGTGTCCATGGCTTTCTGCCACTGAGAGAAGTACTCACCCACGATCGCCTCGGCGTAAGAGTGCGGGGTAGGGATGTCAAGTGCATCCGGGTCTCCCTTAGGGCAAAGCAGCATGGATGCGAAACGAGGTAAAGCGGCCGCAAGACACTCAAGCTCAAACTGCATGTCCTCAAGGATGTCACTGCTAAGGGCAGGCTCACCCCCGATGGACGAAGGACAGACAGACTCAGACTCAGTAACAAGACTCGCGACGTAGTCGAGACGACTCCTAGCTGCAAAGTCGACTAGCTCAGTGACTAGGGAAAACGCAACAATAGACTCAAAGTCAGGGTCACTGATGACAGTAGCGAGAAGACGAGTGACAGTAGGACTGGCAGCACGAGCAAGGTCGGACTCACGGTCAGGAACGTGCGGAAGAGAGGACGAGGGAGGATCAGGCAGGACAACACGTTGTGGAACAGAGGAAGGACAAAGTGCCATACTGTGAGTGCCTGGGACAGCAGGAGGACGAGGACGCGCGACACGGCGAGCAAAAACACGTGTGGAAGCACGAGTCTCAGGCTCACGTCGCTCAGTCAGGGACTCGGTCACCTCAGTGTGAGGAGCAGGAGCAGGCAGCTAGGAGCCATGCAGTAGCTGTGGCTTAGACTGGTCTGTCGGTGGACACAGGAGAGGTGGAGTGAGGCCATTGGAGGACGGGAGACTAAGAACCTGGCGAAGGACCGAGTTAGGCAGTGGCAGGGACGACTGTGGCTGCGGGTAGAAAAACGATCGGCACGGGGCAGTACCAGAAGCTCGAGCTCCTCCAGCACCAGCAGCACCAGCACCTCCAGCACCAACAGCTCCAGTAGCACCTCCAGCACCAGCAGCACCACGAGCTCTGGCAGCGCCAGCACCTCTAACACCAGCAGTACCTCCAGCACCTCCAGCGCCAGCAGCTCCAGTAGCACCTCCAGCACCAGCAGCACCACCTGCTCCGGCAGCTCCAGCACCTCTAGCACCTCTAGTACCTCCAGTACCCCCAGCAGCACCTCCAGCACCTCCAGCACCGGCAGCACCACCAGCTCTAGTAGCTCCAGCACCTCCAGTACGAGCACCTCCAGGACTAGCAGCTCCAGAACCTCCAGTACCTCCAGCTCCAGCACCTCCAGCACCAGCAGCACCTCCAACGCCTCCAACACCAGCAGCACCAGCACCTCCAGTGCCAGCAGCTCCAGCACCTCCAGCACCAGCAGCACCTCCAGCACCTCCAGAGTACCTCCAGCACCTCCAGCAGTACCTCCAGCACCTCCAGCACCAGCAGTACCTCCAGGACTAGTAGCTCCAGCACCAGCTGGACTGTACCCTCCACCACCAGGACTGCCTCGCCGAACGATCCACGCACGATTCGCCTGCGGCGAGAGCGTCTCAAGTAGATCAGGATGCCGTGGCTGTCCAGCTCCAGGACCTCCAGCAGGGTCACCCTTAGCTCCACCGCCACTAGGACTCACAGCACCCCCAGAGTCAGCACCCCCAGTCGCAGCACCCCCGGTCGCAACACCCCCAAAACCAGCACCCCCAGTCGCAGCACCCCAAGAATCCTCACCCTCTGTCTCAGCACCCCCAGGCTCTACACCAGCAGTCTTAGCTCCAGAGTCCACAGCAGCAGGCTGCGGAGGCGGCCAAGACGGCCGAGGCGGAAAACCTGGGGGGTTCTCCAAGTGTGGAGAGCGGCGAGTGGCCACCGTGTCGTCAGCGACGGGGTCACCCCCCTCAGCTGGGCCGGAGGAGTCAGAAGAGATCTCCAGAAGCTTAGCCAAGGGGGGTGGGTCTACCTGAGACACACCCGAGGGAACAGGACCCTGTGGGGAGAGGGAGTCTACCGGGGAGGGGACTGGTACTAGGAAGAGAGGCGCTAGGGGGACCGGGTGGGACGCGTGTGGGTGTAGTCTGTAGAAACAAACAGACTCGTCAAAGGTGACGTCCTGGGAGGAGAAGACTCGATACGAGCGTGGGTGGTAGAACTGCCATGGTGGGGCGTTGGTGGGGATGCCAAGGAAGACGCAGCGGAGAGTGCGAGAGGAGAGCTTGCTCGCTTTGGCATCGCGAACAAGGGAGAGCGCGCCCCAGACCCGAAACACCAACGCATCGCCAACCTTCCCCGTCCACTGGAGTGTGGGCGAGGTCTCTGGCTCAGAGACACGGGGCCAGAGGTTGAGCTGATGTGTAGCGTATCGGACCGCAAACGGCCACAGAAAATGGGGAGCAGCCGCATGGATCATGGAGGTATGAGCAACCTCCATGATCAAGCCAATGCGGCGCTCAGCAATCCCATTCTGCTGAGGAGAGGCCGGGAGCGTGAACGTCTGGCAGATGCCCTCGTCTCGACAGAACTCCTCAAGGAGGCCAGAAGAGAACTCACCGCCCCTGTCAGAGTGCAGACGCAGGACTGGCAAGTCCCGACGAAACCGCTCGCGCAGCTGGCGACGAGTAGCACGGATCCAGGGGATCAAAACACCGCTGACGTCCGCCTTGCGCCGCAAGGGGAAGACAGTGGTGTAGCGTGTGTGATCGTCAACAACCAGCATGAAGTAGCGCTCCTGGTCCGTTCCACTTACGGGGGCCGGGCCCCACACGTCCATGTGGAGAGTCTGCAGATGAACAGTGGTCGGAGGAAACGAGGAGTGAGGAGCGGCGCGCTGCCGCCCCTCAACGCAGGGAAGGCACGGTGGTGCAGGAGAGCACGGGAGGGAGGGCAGGGACCTGGGAAGGCCAGAGACAAGGAGATGGGAGTGCATGCTGCGGAGATGCGACAGCGAGGGGTGACCTAGGCGGTGGTGCCAGAGAAGAGTCTGGTGAGAGAGTACCCGACACGAGCAAGACGCTGCAAGCTGACCAGACGCAGACACCCGACTCGACGCAGCCACTTGACCTGACTCAGCCACCTGTGCAGACTCAGTGGTCAGCGTGTACAGTCCGGACCCAGGCTGACGAGTGAACGTAGCAAGGTGACGGCCAGTCCGTGAGCACTTACAGATCGCCAGACGCTGAGGAATGAAGGTGTCAACCCATGCATCCTGGAGAACTGCGTTGCTCAACAAGTTCATCGAGAACTCAGGGAGGTGGAGACCTGAGAGAGACACGGAGGGGACTGCTGGACAAGGGAGGACTGTGGAGGCTCGTGCGACTACTGGACCCCCAGTGGGGTCAGCCAGTGAGACTGGTACCGGTGCAGCAAGTGGTGTGAGTGTGGTGCAGTCACGAAAGAAGCAACGTGATGCGCCTGAGTCAAGTGTGAAAGTGTGCAAGGCCTCAGCTGAGGCAGGACCTGTGGCAGTAGACGCACGAGCACCTAAAGCTACAGCAAACTCACTAGCACCTAGAGCGGCAGCGGACTCACTAGCTAGCAGCCTCTACAGAACCAGGGACACATTGCTGAGAAACCAACTCACTAAGCAGGTGCGGGGAGAAATTCTCCTGCTGACTCTGCTGTCGCCGATGTGCAGTACGCAGAAAACCAAAGCCTCCACCACCTGGACGGGCTCGCTGAATAACCCATTCGCGAAGCCGCTGCGGGGATAGCGTGTCCGAGAGAGGCAGTGGCTGCTGATGTCCACCCTCAGCTCCTGCGACTACCGTGATAGTGGCCATGACAGGCAGTGGCAGTCAGTAGCAGCAGCGAAAGGGCAGTAGTAGCGACTGTTGAAGTGACTGTGGAGGTCAGTAGAGTATGTGGGCAGCAGGGCACAGGCTAGCGCAGTAACAGCAGTAGTGCCAGCAGTGGCAGCACGAGCAGCAGCAGCAGTAGTAGCAGCAGCCGTAGCAGTAGCAGTAGAAGCAGCAGTAGGACAGTGCAGCTCAGTAGGGGCAGGGCAGCGCGGCTCGGGCAGGGCAGTGCTGCTCGGCAGGGCACAGCGCAGCAGTAGCAGCGTGTGCAGCAGCAGCACGCTGGGAAGCAGGGCGCGCTGGCGCTTTTAGGGTTGCGGGGCGCGCTGTCGCGCTTAGCAGCGGGGCGCACTGGCGCACTTAACAGTGGGGCGCGCTGGCACGCTGGGCTGCGGGGCAGGCTGGCGCGCTTAGCAGCGGGGCGCACTGGGCTGCGGGGCTGCTCGCGGGCAGAAGGGGCGCGCAGGGCAGAGGCTGCTTGCGGGCAGCAGGGGCGCGCGGGGCAGGGGCTGCTCGCGGGCAGCAGGGGCGCGCGTGACAGCAGGGCAGCGCGCTAGGGCAGGCAGTGCGAGTAGCTGCAGGGCAGCGTGACACTGTGCGAGAGGGCCGGACAGCGCAAGGGCGCTTCGGGCAGGAACTAGCGGAACGATCGGTGGGCCGAAAAAAACTAACAGGTTTCCTGCTCTGAATACCATGTCATAATCAACTGTGCAGGAATGAATGAACTATGAATGAGTAGGGTACAAGTACTAACCCTAAAGTGTTGTACCCCTTGTAGGCTAACCCACTATTGCCCAGAGAGAACACAAACATACAGTTTGACACAGGTTCCGAGGAACAACAAAAAATCGGGTTCAAAAAGTGTCATCATACTCCATCAGACAACTCCCAGGGCGTGTTCCTACACCTCTTTTCAGGCAACCTCTTGTCAGACTTGCCTGGTAGAATGCGCAAAGGGATTTGGGTTCAGGAATATTTCAGTGTGATGTGATGCGACGCGAACTTGATAAGAGGTTGGCCTGATAAGGCATTGTAGTAACACAGAGTAGTTTATTACAGTAGGTACTACCATACATAACCAGAAGCAGTCTCAGCAGCTAGTCATTATCATCATCCTCCTTATTAACAAAGATAGTGTCCGCCATAGCGACGAGCGCTAAAACCAGAGCCATGTCGACATTCGGCTTGATGCGCACAGCATATGTGTGCGCGCTCAGAAAATCCCTCACAGACCAAATGTCTCTCTCCACCTGCGCCAACAGAAGCTCGCTGCTTGTGGTGATCTGATCAATGAGAGCAGAGCAAGCACAGAGAAAGGGAAGGAGAGAGAAGAAGGATATCAAGCTGCATGCTCTCTCGCAGACAAGAGGCATCACAGCATGTGCGTGCTGCCAGGACTTGACCGTTCCGAACAAAAACGTCTCCCTCTTCACATACGCAACGGAGCAAGGGCAGGGACAGGGTGGGACAATGTTGAGCTGGGTGTGTCATGGCAGGTGTGGGGTGGGAGACAGAAACTCGTGATACCTTCTTGCAGACCAAATCCCCTGCTCCCACCTGCCTGCGCCAAAGCAAGATAGGGCAGGACACTATGTTCAATGTGCGCATCACGCGTAATTCAGCAACCCCTATTGATCGAAGACATGTCCACGTGCACATGCGGAACAGGGTAACAAGGATCTCCATTCGATTTGCATATTGAAGTGCATATGCTGGTCACACTTAACACTTTTCACACACACGGGAGACTGGCTGACCAAGAGCGTAATTCTCTTAGTACTTACAGTGAACTCGTGTTGGAAAAAGTCGCCTTTGAGAACAATGTCTGGCTTGTTGTCAAAGGAGTTTCCCTTCAGAAAGATCTGCGGGCAAATAGAAAAAACAACACCAGAAGGGAGGACAAAAAAAATGGGCATTCAGATCAGAACCTGCAGCTTAACAATCCAGTTGCAATTTCCGTCAAATTGTGAGTGACCCACACGAAGTGCATGAACATTGTTGACCGTGTGGACACAGTATGGTGCCTTTTGGGTGTACCAACCCAATGAAACAAGGGGTTTCCATTCTACGAGCAAATATAGGACATGCACTTGTAAGACCTGTGCACGACATCATACCGGTATGCAAGCAGGGTGTGAGTGAACGGAACAGGCTGTCAGGAGAAGAACAAGCTCTGGCAGGCAATGGCGCGTCCCTTTCACTCATTCACACCCTCCTCGCTCACTGCTCAGTCACTCCTTCACTCGCTCAATCACTATCTCCCACCATCCCTCCCTGCCTCCCTCCCTCACGCACTCACTTAATCCTGGCAGTCACCAACGCGGCCCTTCCACTCACACTCTGCTGGCTAACTGACTCCCCGTTCACTCACTTCCTTCCCCTCCCCCCTTCACTCACTCCATCCCTCCCTCATTCACTCACCCACTCACGCACTCACATTGAGGATGGGTTTCCAGGAGAAGAACTTGCTCCGGGCAGTGAGCAGCGCGTCGCGTTTATCCACGCTGGCGCCCGGGCACAGGTAGGTGACGTCATGCAGGGAGAAGGCCTTGCTGGTCAGCGAGCAGACGGGCTCATCCTGTGCGTTGAATATCGTCTTGCGATCCCGCCACGAAAACGCCCTGGGATAGAAAACAACCAGGGGGCCGGGAAACGGGGGAGAGGGCCTTGCTGGTCAGCGAGCAGACCGCCTCGTCCTGGGCGCTGAAGATTGTCTTGCGGTCGCGCCACGAGAACGCCCTGCATGAAGGCGCGCGAGAAGGGAAACAACAGAAAAAGGCAAAGAGAGACTGAAAAGAAAGAGGGAGCAGCATTTGATTCCGTGTGCGTGACTATCATTGCCAGGTTACCCTGGCGATGAGTCAGCTTTCAAAACCATGCGGTTATCAACAGCAGCTTCAAAGTTTGATCCCCTACGTGCACATCAGATATCCCTCACATTTTCCCTTTTTATCCCCTCGCAATCCTTTCCCCCTCGCAATCCTTTCCCCCTCCAATCCCCATTTCTTCCCCAATTCTTCCCCCTCCATCAATCTAGAACAAACATAAACCAACTTCAAGTAGTAGGTACTTGTCCTTGGTCTTGAAAAAGAGCTGGCCTTGCGTGTCGTATACGTCCGCTTTGCCGTGTAGCGACCACATCTTCTCCTTCAATATAAGCACCGTCTCGTACGGGAGGCAGTACTGAAGCCCCACCACCACGTACGGCTCCGTCGGCCCGGCGGTTGGCGTGTGCGACGGGATGGGGACATTGGCGACGGGATTGGCGACAGGATTGGCGACAGGATTGGCGACAGGCGTGCCAGTCGCGACCGTAGCGACAGGCGCGCCAGTGGCGAAGATCGGCGTGGTATTGGCGAGGGGCGTGGCGATGTAATGGGACGGAATAGATGCAGACATTTCTGCCCGTTGGTATAAGAACGCGGCCTGTCGGTAACCTCGGCTAAGGCTCGCCGGTCGAGGCTTGGAGGAAGTGGATCACAGAATAGGCTGAGGCTCAGATATAAGATACTACCAGTTCAGGATAATACTCGCTGTGACGACGTTCTTACGGGCTCGGATATAACACAATTTACACAAAACAATCGATATCATCAGCGAGTAGTAAATGGAACTGCCAGGAACCTCTTGTACAGAGATCAGGAACTCCACGTAGACATTATAATGTACAGCCTAACTACTCGCGACGCGGAAGCTTTCAGTATGTATAAAAGGCTGGCTGGTTTCACGCGCGAGTGTATGGTCGGACATCACTGACGAAACGTGTGTCTCGTGACAAAGGTGAAAGTGCCAGGAAGGCAGACGGCGGGAAGCGGAGCGGACAACACGGGCATGGGGATGCTGTACTGTACTATTGGATACGGACAACGGACATCGCGGGCATGTACGGTACTGTGAACATGATGCCGTGAACGGCTAGTCATTGGCGCGGGTTGACGCTTATCATGTTGATTCCCAGAGTTACGGTGCGGTGTGCAAAAATGGCATTCCTCCCCGTTGCGGACTGGATGTTGCTAGGCAACATCGGAGGAAAAGCCTCTGTACCGTTTTAATGCTTTGTCAAAATCTTTTGAACTGCGCGGAAACGATTTGTATGTGGCATCTGTGAGTGCGGTGTGGAGCTCTCAAGGTGAAAGAACGAAGCCAGTTTGTTTGGAGAGGGAAGGACCTTGGAGAGAATTCGGTGATTGATGAAACTTAGGTGAAACGGACGGCGAAGAGGACAGCCACGTGGTATCACTCCCAAGGCATCGAACAAAACGTACACAGAAAACAGAATCTCACAATGTTACAAGTGCAATTGAGCGAGCGAGCAAGAATTGCACTATCAAGCAAAACTATAAGGAAAAATCCTTTTCCTTACTTCGCGTCCCTGCTCAGCGCGTACACCACTGTTCCTGCCAACAGCACCCCACAACAATCCGTTACCACTCGCGACATTCACCTCGACACTATTCCCGCCACTGTTCACAACGCGACCCAACCTCACGGTTCGGTTGGAAACCCGTGTCAGATTTATATGACATAGCTACTGTAGGCTAGAGTGGGGTAGCACATATGGGGTACAGTTTTCTAGGGTTTGCTTCTTGTACCCAACTTTCACTTAGTCATTCCCATTCCTGTTTTTCTTAATTCACATGGTATAGAGCGGGTTCCTACATGGGACCGTTCCTTCCTAAGGGCCCACCATAAGAATTTTTTTTTTAGCTGCCCGCGCACATTGCGCCCTGCCCTAATTTTTTTTTTTAGCGGCCCCTACGCTGCCTCTACGCGGCCTCTACGCCGCCTCCCACGCGCCCCCTATGCGGCCCCTGGCGGCGCCCTGACGAGGCCCCTGCCGGCGCCCTATCACGGCCCCTGACGCGCCCCCTGGTGGCGCCCTGACGCGGCCCCTGGCGGCGCCTGACGCGGCCCTGACGCGACCTGACGCGGCCCCTGGCGGCGCCCTGACGCAGCCCCTGCCGCGGCCCTGACGCGGCCCTGCCGCGGCCCCTGACGCGGCCCTGACGCGCCCTGCCGCGGCCCCTGCCGCGGCCCTGAAGCGGCCCCTGACGCGGCCCTGACGCGGCCCTGACGCGGCCCTGACGCGGCCCTGCCGCGGCCCCTGGCGGCGCCCTGACGCGGCCCCTGACGCGGCGCCCTGACGCGGCCCCTGCCGCGGCCCTGACGCGGCCCTGCCGCGGCCCCTGACGCGGTCCTGACGCGGCCTGCTGCGGCCCCTGCCGCGGCCCTGAAGCGGCCCCTGACGCGGCCCTGAAGCGGCTCTGCCGCGGCCCTGACGCGGCCCCTGACGCGGCCCCTGCCGCGGCCCCTTACGCGGCCCTGACGCGGTCCTGCCGCGGCCCCTGGCGGCGCCCTGACGCGGCCCCTGACGCGGCGCCCTGACGCGGCCCTGCCGCGGCCCCTGACGCGGCCCCTGCCGCGGCCCCTGACGCGGCCCCTGACGCGGCCCCTGCCGCGGCCCCTGACGCGGCCCCGCCGCCTCTTCTCAGCGGCCCCGCCGCCTCCTCTCAGCGGCCCCGCCGCCTCCTCCAAGCGGCCCCGGACGCCGCCCTCTCAGCGGCCCCGCCGAGCCGCCCACCAGCCTAGCCGCCCAGCAGCTGAGCCACCGAGCCGCCCAGCAGCCGAGCCGCCGAGCCGCCCAGCAGCCGAGCCGCCCAGCAGCAGAGCCGCCGAGCCGCCCAGCAGCCGAGTCGCTGAGCCGCCCAGCAGCCGAGCCGCCGAGCCGCCCAGCAGCCGAGCCGCCCAGCAGCCGAGTCGCCGAGCCGCCCTGCAGCCGAGCCGCCCGAGCCGCCCTGTCCGGTAAGAGCAGCGCCTCTCTCACAGCACTGCCCTCACCCCACTGTTTGCGCTGCTAGTCTACTACTGTCATGGCTACCCCTAGTGTCCTCGCTTTTGACGCTGAGGGTCGGGCCATTGACTTTGACGTCTGGATAGATGACCTGCAGCTTTTCTTACAGTGCGATAGGGCAGACGGCCTCTCCCTCTTTGACCTCACTTCTGGTGCCTCTCCTGCTCCCGCCACTGATGCTGACGCAACTGTTCGCTCCCAGTGGGCCACGCGCGATGCTGCTGCACGTCTTGCTGTGCGTCGCCACCTGCCTACCTCTGAGCGTGCGCACTTTAGCCAGTACAAGAGTGCTCAGACCTTGTACGACGCTGTAGTTGCACGCTACTCCTCCCCTGCCACTGCTGCACTGAGCCGCCTCATGCTACCGTACCTCTTCCCTGACCTTGCTGCCTTTCCCACAGTCGCTGACCTCATCACGCACCTCCGCACTAGTGACACTCGCTACCGCGCTGCGCTTCCTGCTGAGTTCTGCGCCAAGAACCCCCCCCCATGTACATCACCCTCTACTACATCGTCACCCGTCTCCCTGACTCCCTTCGCGTAGTCAGGGACCACTTCCTCTCGGTTTGTCCCACCACTCTCACCGTTGACCTCCTCGAGAAGGCCCTCCTAGCAGCAGAAAAGAGCATAGTCGCTGTAGGAGCCTCTCGTGGTGACCCTCGCACCCCCATCTTTGAGGGGTGTTCCCCCTCCCCTCTTTTGCCCTCTGTTGCCTCTGCTGCTGCGGCCGACCTCGCTGGTTTGGAGTCGGTTGGGGCAGCGTCTACCCCTAGCGGGAGACGCCGCCCTGGCAGGGGCAAGGGGGGCAGGGGCGCTGGAGGAGCTAGCGGGGGCGGTGGAGGCGGCGGTGGAGGTGGTGGAGGAGGTGGTGGTGGCGGTGGGAGTGGTGGCGGGGGTGGAGGTGTAGGTGGCGGCAGTGGAGGCGCAGGAGGCAGCGGCGGTGGCGGAGGGAGCGGAGGTGGCGGCGGTGGAGGAGGAGGCGGCGGAGGAGGTGGAGCTGGTCGGGGTGGCGCTGCGCAGAGGGTCAGCTCCGGTGGTGGTCAGCGCCAGCAGCAGCAGCAGCAGCAGCAGCAGCAGCGCACTCGTGACGTCCCCTCCCCTCAGCAGCTCCGTGAGTGGTACACTGCACGCCAGAGGGGTGGGGGTGCTGGTCCGTGCACCTACGTCCTGCGCACCGGCGACCGCGCGGGTGAGCAGTGCGGGGGTGCGCACTCCACCCAGCGCTGCTTTGGCCGCCTCACGGACGCTTGGCGTCACCAGTTCCCTGAGGCCACTGAGATCCCCCGCTGGGGTGAGCTGTCTAGGGCGGGTGTAGCTGTCTTTGACCTTGACTTTGATGCTATTCTTGCTGCCGTGTATACTGTGACTATTAGTGATGAGGGTGACTGTTACCGGTGTTTTCCGCCCGACCCGGGCATTGAGACTGCTGCTCTAGGTACTGGTGAGGCTGCTGCTCTAGGTGCTAGCGAGGCTGCTGCTCTAGGTGCGTCTACTCCCTCAGGTGCTGGTGAGTCTGCTCTCTCAGGTTCTGCGTCGGCTTCGGCCTCCCACACCTTCACACTTGACTCGGGGGCTTCTCGCTCCTTCTTTCGAGACCGCACCACACTCACGCCGCTTGGCCGGCCAGTTGCGGTCTCCCTGGCAGACCCCTCTGGGGGTCCTGTCCTTGCTCACTTCTCCACTGTCCTCCCGTGTCCGGCGGCCCCCTCTGGCACCCTGTCTGGTCTCTACCTCCCCTCGTTCTCTACGAACTTGGTGAGTGGTGCTGACCTACAGGATGCGGGGGTTCACCAGTTCACTCCTGCGAGTCAGCGGGTGACCCACTGCACGGACGCTCGGACAGGCCGCCACCTGGCCACGTTTACACGTCGGCCAGGGTCGAGCCTGTACACACTGACCACTGCGTCTCCTCCAGTCCCTGCGTCTGGTCAGGTAGCTGCGTCGGGTCAGGTGTTTGCTGCAGCGTCCAGGTCTGGTCCTGAGTCTGCCCCCTGCTCGTGTCGCCTCCTGTCTCACGAGACTCTCCTCTGGCACCACCGCCTTGGCCACCCCTCCCTGCTTCGTCTCCGGAGCATGGCCTCCCGTGTCCTTGTCTCTGGTCTTCCCCGGTCCCTCCCTCCCCTTCCTCCGGGGCCAGGCCCTACCTGCGTCCCCTGTGTCGAGGGACGGCAGCGGGCTACCCCTCACTCCTCCCAGTTTCCTCCGACAGAGGCCCCGCTGCAGACGCTTCACATGGACGTGTGGGGCCCGGCCCGCGTCCGTGGACAGGGTCACGAGCGCTACTTCCTGCTGGTGGTTGACGACTACTCGCGTTACACTACAGTCTTCCCCTTGCGCAGCAAGGGTGATGTCACTGAGGTGTTGATCGACTGGATCCGCGCAGCTCGTCTCCAGCTCAGGCGGAGCTTTGGCTCGGACTTTCCTGTTCTGTGTCTGCACTCTGACAGAGGCGGAGAGTTCTCCTCTGGCCTTCTGCGAGCCTACTGTCGTGCACGAGGCATCCGCCAGACCTTCACGCTTCCGGACTCTCCACAGCAAAATGGGATTGCTGAGCGCCGCATTGGCATGGTCATGGACGTCGCCCGTACGTCCATGATGCATGCGGCTGCCCCCCATTTTCTGTGGCCGTTTGCGGTTCGGTACGCGGCGCATCAGATCAACCTTCAGCCCAGGGTCTCCATGCCGGAGACCTCCCCAGCTTTGCTGTGGACGGGGAAGGTTGGCGATGCGTCTGCGTTCCGTGTCTGGGGATCTCGGGCGTTTGTCCGCGACTTGTCTGCGGACAAGCTGTCCCCTCGTGCTGCTCCTTGCGTCTTCCTGGGTTTCCCCCCTGACGCCCCAGGGTGGCAGTTCTACCACCCCACCTCTCGCCGTGTTCTGTCCTCCCAGGACGTCACGTTCGACGAGTCGGTCCCCTACTACCGCCTCTTCCCCTACCGCACTCCGTCCCTCCCCCCGCCACCGCTCTTCCTTGTACCAGGTCCCCCCCCGGTAGACCCCCTCCCCCCTCAGGGTCCTGCCCCTTCAGGTGTGTCCCAGGTAGACGCTGTTGAGCCTGTCGAGGTCGCTGGTGACTCTGGTGCTGCTGAGGGTGCTGAGCCTGGGGGTGCTGACTCTAGGGGTGCTGAGCGTGTGGGTGCTACGCCTGGGGGTGCTGAGCCTGGGGGTGCTGAGCCTGGGGGTGCTGAGTCTGGGGGTACTACGACTGGGGGTGCTGAGCCTGGGGGTACTACGCCTGGAGGTGCTGAGCCTGGGGGTGCTGCGTCTGGGGGTGCTGAGCCTGGGGGTACTACGCCTGGAGGTGCTGAGCCTGGGGGTGCTACGCCTGGTGGTGCTGTGCCTGGCGGTTCACCGGGTGCTCCCTCTCGCCGAGAGCCACTCTCTCCCCAGGAGCTGCGTGAGTGGTTTGCCCAGCGCTGGAGGCGAGCTGCTGGAGCTGCTGGAGCTGGAGGTGCTGCGGGTACTGGAGGTTCTGTTGCTTCTGAGGGAGCTGGTGCCACGGGTCCCGAAGGTGCTCGTACTGGGAGTTCTGGAGCTGCTGGACCTGCGGGTACTTCTGGAGCTGGAGTTGCTGCGGGTGTTGGCGCGGAGGTTACTGCTGTCGGTCCTGGAGGCAGTCCTGCTGGGGGTACTACTGGTGCTGCTGGGGGTTCTGGAGCTGGAGCTGCTACTGGTGCTGGTGCTGCCCCTGCGGGTGCTGGTGCTGTCCCTCCTGTGTCTGGAGTCGCCGCGCGGCCTCGGCCGTACTTCGTTCCGCTCCTTCAGCAGGTTCTTGGTCTCCCGCCTTCTACTGGTCCTCCTCCTCCCTTAGAGTGTCCACAGCCTGTCCCGTCGCAGTTACAGTTACAGCCGGCCTCCCCACTGCCTGCTCCGTCTCCCTACACTGGTCCTACTGGAGGTCTTGCTGAGCGTCGTGAGCCTGCGTCTCGCCCTGCGTCGCCTGTCCGTGCTGCTCGCACTAGTGGTCGCGGTTCGCGTCAGCGTCCTCCTCCTGTCCCTGGCACGCACCGGATGTCTCTGCGTCCGTCCACTGCTCCTCTGCGTGCCCCTTTGCCTTCTCCTCCTGAGTCTTCTCTTCCTACTCTTGCTGACCCGGAGTCGGACTCTCTTCGCGCTGCCAGTCCTACTGTCACGCGTCTCCTTGCTACGGTTGTCACTGACCCTTCCTTTGAGTCCACTGCTGCGTCTGCTCTAGTTGCTGAGCTCGTCGACTTTGCTGCTCGCTGTCGCCTAGACTACGTCGCCAGTCTTGTTGCTGAGTCTGAGTCTGTCTGTCCTCCGTCCGTCGGGGGTGAGTGTGCCCTTGGCACGGACGTCCTTGAGGACAGGCAGGAGGAGTTCCAGTGCTTGGCCGCTGCTTCACCTCATCTCGTGTCCGTACTGCTTACCCCTGAGGGAGACCCGGATGCACTTGACATCCCGACTCCGCGCTCTTACGCGGAGGCGATAGAGGGTCCCTACTCCTCTCAGTGGCAGGCAGCTATGGACGCAGAGATGGCTTCCTGGAAGTCCACAGGCACCTACGTTGACGCTGTTCCCCCTCCTGGGGCGAACATCGTCAGTGGCATGTGGATTTTCAGGGTGAAGCGACCGCCGGGTTCTCCGCCTGTCTTCAAGGCGCGTTACGTGGCTCGTGGCTTCAGTCAGCGGCAGGGAGTTGACTACTTTCAGACCTTCTCTCCCACCCCGAAGATGACCACTCTTCGGGTACTGCTGCACGTAGCTGCTCACCGTGACTACGAGCTACACTCTCTTGACTTCAGCACTGCTTTCTTGCAGGGCAGCCTGCACGAGGAGATCTGGCTGCGTCGCCCACCTGGCTTCACTGGGTCTTTTCCTCCTGGCACCCAGTGGAGCCTACGGCGGCCAGTCTACGGTCTCCGCCAGGCACCGCGTGAGTGGCACGACACACTGAGGACTACACTTGCGGCTCTTGGGTTTGCTCCCTCTACTGCCGACCCGTCGTTGTTTCTGCACACCGACACTTCTTTGCCGCCGTTCTACATCCTCGTGTACGTCGACGACTTGGTCTTTGCCACAGCTGACACTGCTGGACTAGCCCACGTGAAGTCCGAGCTGCAGAAGAGACACACGTGCACTGACCTGGGTGAACTGCGCAGCTACCTTGGCTTGCAGATCACTCGGGACAGAGCACGCCGCACCATTACCCTGACTCAGTCACACATGGTGCAGCAGGTCTTTCAGCGCTTCGGCTTCACGTACTCCTCGCCTCAGGCCACTCCTCTGCCTACTCGCCACTCGCTCTCAGCTCTGCCTTCGGATGAGTCCGTAGAGTCGAGTGGCCCGTACCCAGAGCTTGTTGGCTGCCTCATGTACCTGATGACCTGCACACGACCTGACCTTGCATACCCTCTTAGCATTCTTGCACGCTATGTTGCTCCTGGGAGACACAGACCGGAGCACATGGCTGCAGCGAAGAGGGTGTTGCGCTACTTGTGCAGTACGTCGGGCATGGGGCTTGTGCTTGGAGGGCAGAGTCCAGTGGTCCTTACTGGGCACGCAGACGCTTCTTGGGCTGACGACCAGGCTACGCAGCGGTCGTCACAGGGTTACACCTTCAGCCTTGGTTCCGGCTCTGTTTCGTGGCGGGCTACTCGCTCGTCTTCTGTTCTCGGCTCCAGTTGTGAGGCTGAGATCTACGCAGGAGCCATGGCTGCACAGGAGCTTCGCTGGCTCACCTACCTGCTGACTGACCTCGGAGAGTTGCCTCGTTCTCCTCCAGTGCTGTACGTAGACAACAAGGCCATGCTGGCCTTGTGTCGGGAGCAGCGACTGGAGCACAGAACGAAGCACATTGCTCTCCGCTACTTTCTTGCTCGTGAGCTGCAGCAGCATGGTCAGCTGCGTCTTGCGTACGTGGCCTCTGAGGCCAACACTGCTGATATCTTCACCAAGGCACTTGCGCCTTGTGACCATCAGCGCTTCTGTACTCAGCTGGGCCTTGTGCCTACCTTGCCTCACTTGCTCACCTCTTGACCTTGCTTGTACTGTTACATATATATATACCTGCTCTTGTTTGTCTAGCCTTTTTTATATATATGTGTACTCCTGCTTGTGAACTGGCCTTGTGGCCTTGAACTTGTGCTCGGAATGTGTGGTGACTTTGTGATCCACCCTGAGCTTGTTTTTGCTTTGCTTTGCTTGACTGGTCTTGTGACCCCTTGTTCTCCCCCACTTTGCCTATGGGGGTGTGTCAGATTTATATGACATAGCTACTGTAGGCTAGAGTGGGGTAGCACATATGGGGTACAGTTTTCTAGGGTTTGCTTCTTGTACCCAACTTTCACTTAGTCATTCCCATTCTTGTTTTTCTTAATTCACAACCCGCGCTCCGGACCTCCACCTCAACAATCCCCAACCTCGGCGCCAGGCCCGTCGCGCACCCCATTTTCCACACGTTACCGTTACCACTGTAGTTTCGCAATATATTCTTCGCTAAATTCTTCACTCATTCTATTCTTGTCTCAATAGTGCAATCCTCGCTCGGCACCTGTGTGCGTGAAGGAAGAAGGTGCGCGGCGCTGATGCTTGAATAGCCTGCGAGTGCACCACCGTGTAGCTGCAGTGGGGGGGCAATGGGGGAGGAAAGGGGGAGGAAAGGGAGAGGAATCGGATTAATGGGAAGCGATGAAGGGAAATTGATGGCAATACAGCAATGAAGGGAAATTGATGGCAATACAGCGATGAAGGGAAATTGATGGCAATACAGCGATGAAGGGAAATTGATGGCAATACAGCGATGAAGGGAAATTGATGGCAATACAGCGATGAAGGGAAATTGATGGCAATACAGCGATGAAGGGAAATTGATGGCAATACAGCGATTGGGCGTGCCCCTTCCATCCTCCCCCCCACACCCCGCAGCCCCCCTCTTCCCCCCCGCCCAGCTCCCTTCCCCACCCCCCCCCCGCGCCTCACTTGGAGAACCCCCCAAGGAAGGATGTGCGCGCATTGGAGCCCAGGAGGGGGAAGGTGGCGGAGAAGAGGAGGTGCAGCGAGAGGACATAGCGGCCTGGCAGGGGCAGCTGGTAGCACACCTGGGGGAGGGGGAGGGGGATGGGAGGGGGATGGGAGGGGATGGGATGGGGATGGGAGGGGATGGGGGGGGATGGGAGGGGATGGGAGGGGATGGGGGGGGATGGGGTGAGGCAAAACTGGATGGCCGCGAGATTCATGCGGGATGGCGTGATGCGGGAAGAGGCAGACGGGGCGAGGTGGAAGTGCAGGTGGCGTGCGGGCCAAGTGATGGGGGGCGAGGTGCGAGGGAGTAAAGGCAGGTGAGAGGAGGAGAGAGGCGCAGCAGGCACAGAGGCGCGTGCGTGGACAGGTGCGCGATGATCTGTGCGGCGCGATGAGCTGTGTGGCGGGCAAAGCAGCGGATGGTAGACATGAGCAAAAATTCGAACCTCTGTTCGGTTCGACTCGAAAGTGTTTGACTGATTTTTTTGCCCAAAATTGTTCGTGACGAACACCTTGGTGTTCGTCACGAACACGTTCGACTGTTCGAGTGTTCGAGTGCAGAAAAATGCATGAACTCCAAGGTGTTCGAGAACACAATGTGTTCGTCTCGAACACCTAGGCGTTCGAGGGAAAATTCAGCGTGTCAAAGTATGACACGCTGGTTGGATCTAAAAGGGGAGGGCAACGAATGAGCTCAAGAATGAGCTCAAGAATGAGATATAGCCTAAGGATGACATTCCGCCCCCTACCCACTAAAACTACCACATTCCCACGGTCAAAATTCCACATTGTGGCTGGAAACGTTAGGTATAAGGTTGGATTAGGGTAGGAGACGGTTAAAAATAGGTACTAAGGGCATTTCGGTTTAGGTTGGAGTTTAGCAAGGAGAAATTGGATATCCACAAGATCTGCGCCAAGCCTAGATATATCTCTTGTAGGGCTATAGGAAATGTGATATTGCTTCTAGTACACTCGCCCTGCCTTAATGTGACTATACTGAAAGAACCCCCCAAAGCAAACTGTTCGATTTCGGGTCAAACACCTTAGTGTTCGGCCTTGGCTCAAAACTGTTCGACCCTATACTCGAACATTTAAGAAAACGTGTTCGGTTCGCTCGTTGCTCATGTCTAGCGGATGGGATAATGGTAGAGTAGCCTGGGTGTGATGGCATGGCGGCGAGGGTGGTATCGTCCCATGGGAAGGGAAGCCTGGGTGGGAGGGCTGCGAGGGTGGTCACCTGGTGGGAGGAGTTGCCAGGGTGGTATGTCACCTGCGCTGCCATGCACACATCCACACCCCCTCCTTCCTCCACCTCCGCCTTCTCCCCGTTTTCCCCTCTCTCCCCGTCCTCCCCCTGTTCCCCCTCCCCACCCTCCCCGCCCCGCTCCCACGCCTCCAGCAGCACGGCCGCCCGCCCAGCAGCTGCCCTCGCCTGGGCGCTCACAGCCACCGGCACCTCCGTCACGCGCGCGTTGCCCTGCACCGGCACATCCGCGCTGCTCCCACTGGTGCTACTGCCGCTGCCGCTGCCCCCCTCGTGGGCATCAGTGCGGTCCTCGGTGCTGCCCTGGCGGCGCTGCAGCGCAATCAAGGCCACCAGGAACGCCCTCTGCCTGGCGGGTGACAGGAGAGACTGTTTAGTCAGGTTTGAATGGGGGGAACATGGCAGGGGAGACTGAGGGCAGGAGCAACAAGGAAAGGAAGGGGCAGAGGCACGAAAGAATGGATGATGATGATTGGTGGGCACAGCGAGATGCACGCAGCCGTGGCTTATTTGCTACCTCACTCACGCAGCCGTGGCTTATTTGCTACCTCACTCACGCAGCCGTGGCTTATTTGCTACCTCACTCACGCAGCCGTGGCTTATTTGCTACCTCACTCACGCAGCCGTGGCTTATTTGCTACCTCACTCACGCAGCCGTGGCTTATTTGCTACCTCACTCACGCAGCCGTGGCTTATTTGCTACCTAACTCACGCAGCCGTGGCTTATTTGCTACCTCACTCACGCAGCCGTGGCTTATTTGCTACCTCACTCACGCAGCCGTGGCTTATTTGCAACCTCACTCACGCAGCCGTGGCTTATTTGCTACCTCACTCACGCAGCCGTGGCTTATTTGCTACCTCACTCACGCAGCCGTGGCTTATTTGCTACCTCACTCACGCAGCCGTGGCTTATTTGCTACCTCACTCACGCAGCCGTGGCTTATTTGCTACCTCACTCACGCAGCCGTGGCTTATTTGCTACCTCACTCACGCAGCCGTGGCTTATTTGCAACCTCACTCACGCAGCCGTGGCTTATTTGCTACCTCACTCACGCAGCCGTGGCTTATTTGCTACCTCACTCACGCAGCCGTGGCTTATTTGCTACCTCACTCACGCAGCCGTGGCTTATTTGCAACCTCACTCACGCAGCCGTGGCTTATTTGCTACCTCACTCACGCAGCCGTGGCTTATTTGCTACCTCACTCACGCAGCCGTGGCTTATTTGCTACCTCACTCACGCAGCCGTGGCTTATTTGCTACCTCACTCACGCAGCCGTGGCTTATTTGCTACCTCACTCACGCAGCCGTGGCTTATTTGCTACCTCACTCACGCAGCCGTGGCTTATGCTACCTCACTCACGCAGCCGTGGCTTATTTGCTACCTCACTCACGCAGCCGTGGCTTATTTGCTACCTCACTCACGCAGCCTTGGCTTATTTGCTACCTCACTCACGCAGCCGTGGCTTATTTGCTACCTCACTCACGCAGCCGTGGCTTATTTGCTACCTCACTCACGCAGCCGTGGCTTATTTGCTACCTCACTCACGCAGCCGTGGCTTATTTGCTACCTCACTCACGCAGCCGTGGCTTATTTGCTACCTCACTCACGCAGCCGTGGCTTATTTGCAACCTCACTCACGCAGCCGTGGCTTATTTGCTACCTCACTCACGCAGCCGTGGCTTATTTGCTACCTCACTCACGCAGCCGTGGCTTATTTGCTACCTCACTCACGCAGCCGTGGCTTATTTGCAACCTCACTCACGCAGCCGTGGCTTATTTGCTACCTCACTCACGCAGCCGTGGCTTATTTGCTACCTCACTCACGCAGCCGTGGCTTATTTGCTACCTCACTCACGCAGCCGTGGCTTATTTGCTACCTCACTCACGCAGCCGTGGCTTATTTGCTACCTCACTCACGCAGCCGTGGCTTATTTGCTACCTCACTCACGCAGCCGTGGCTTATTTGCTACCTCACTCACGCAGCCGTGGCTTATTTGCTACCTCACTCACGCAGCCGTGGCTTATTTGCTACCTCACTCACGCAGCCGTGGCTTATTTGCTACCTCACTCACGCAGCCGTGGCTTATTTGCTACCTCACTCACGCAGCCGTGGCTTATTTGCTACCTCACTCACGCAGCCGTGGCTTATTTGCTACCTCACTCACGCAGCCGTGGCTTATTTGCTACCTCACTCACGCAGCCGTGGCTTATTTGCTACCTCACTCACGCAGCCGTGGCTTATTTGCAACCTCACTCACGCAGCCGTGGCTTATTTGCTACCTCACTCACGCAGCCGTGGCTTATTTGCTACCTCACTCACGCAGCCGTGGCTTATTTGCTACCTCACTCACGCAGCCGTGGCTTATTTGCTACCTCACTCACGCAGCCGTGGCTTATTTGCTACCTCACTCACGCAGCCGTGGCTTATTTGCTACCTCACTCACGCAGCCGTGGCTTATTTGCAACCTCACTCACGCAGCCGTGGCTTATTTGCTACCTCACTCACGCAGCCGTGGCTTATTTGCTACCTCACTCACGCAGCCGTGGCTTATTTGCTACCTCACTCACGCAGCCGTGGCTTATTTGCAACCTCACTCACGCAGCCGTGGCTTATTTGCTACCTCACTCACGCAGCCGTGGCTTATTTGCTACCTCACTCACGCAGCCGTGGCTTATTTGCTACCTCACTCACGCAGCCGTGGCTTATTTGCTACCTCACTCACGCAGCCGTGGCTTATTTGCTACCTCACTCACGCAGCCGTGGCTTATTTGCTACCTCACTCACGCAGCCGTGGCTTATTTGCTACCTCACTCACGCAGCCGTGGCTTATTTGCTACCTCACTCACGCAGCCGTGGCTTATTTGCAACCTCACTCACGCAGCCGTGGCTTATTTGCTACCTCACTCACGCAGCCGTGGCTTATTTGCTACCTCACTCACGCAGCCGTGGCTTATTTGCTACCTCACTCACGCAGCCGTGGCTTATTTGCTACCTCACTCACGCAGCCGTGGCTTATTTGCTACCTCACTCACGCAGCCGTGGCTTATTTGCTACCTCACTCACGCAGCCGTGGCTTATTTGCTACCTCACTCACGCAGCCGTGGCTTATTTGCTACCTCACTCACGCAGCCGTGGCTTATTTGCTACCTCACTCACGCAGCCGTGGCTTATTTGCTACCTCACTCACGCAGCCGTGGCTTATTTGCTACCTCACTCACGCAGCCGTGGCTTATTTGCTACCTCACTCACGCAGCCGTGGCTTATTTGCTACCTCACTCACGCAGCCGTGGCTTATTTGCTACCTCACTCACGCAGCCGTGGCTTATTTGCTACCTCACTCACGCAGCCGTGGCTTATTTGCTACCTCACTCACGCAGCCGTGGCTTATTTGCTACCTCACTCACGCAGCCGTGGCTTATTTGCTACCTCACTCACGCAGCCGTGGCTTATTTGCTACCTCACTCACGCAGCCGTGGCTTATTTGCAACCTCACTCACGCAGCCGTGGCTTATTTGCTACCTCACTCACGCAGCCGTGGCTTATTTGCTACCTCACTCACGCAGCCGTGGCTTATTTGCTACCTCACTCACGCAGCCGTGGCTTATTTGCTACCTCACTCACGCAGCCGTGGCTTATTTGCTACCTCACTCACGCAGCCGTGGCTTATTTGCTACCTCACTCACGCAGCCGTGGCTTATTTGCTACCTCACTCACGCAGCCGTGGCTTATTTGCTACCTCACTCACGCAGCCGTGGCTTATTTGCTACCTCACTCACGCAGCCGTGGCTTATTTGCTACCTCACTCACGCAGCCGTGGCTTATTTGCTACCTCACTCACGCAGCCGTGGCTTATTTGCTACCTCACTCACGCAGCCGTGGCTTATTTGCTACCTCACTCACGCAGCCGTGGCTTATTTGCTACCTCACTCACGCAGCCGTGGCTTATTTGCTACCTCACTCACGCAGCCGTGGCTTATTTGCTACCTCACTCACGCAGCCGTGGCTTATTTGCTACCTCACTCACGCAGCCGTGGCTTATTTGCTACCTCACTCACGCAGCCGTGGCTTATTTGCTACCTCACTCACGCAGCCGTGGCTTATTTGCTACCTCACTCACGCAGCCGTGGCTTATTTGCTACCTCACTCACGCAGCCGTGGCTTATTTGCTACCTCACTCACGCAGCCGTGGCTTATTTGCTACCTCACTCACGCAGCCGTGGCTTATTTGCTACCTCACTCACGCAGCCGTGGCTTATTTGCTACCTCACTCACGCAGCCGTGGCTTATTTGCTACCTCACTCACGCAGCCGTGGCTTATTTGCTACCTCACTCACGCAGCCGTGGCTTATTTGCTACCTCACTCACGCAGCCGTGGCTTATTTGCTACTCACTCACGCAGCCGTTGTTGTAATTTCATATTTCATACAACATACATAGGCTAGAAGTGTAGCACATTTATAAATTGGGGGGTTGCTTAGTGTACCCTCCAACCACATTTTGTGGTTGGTTGGGATTGGTCCTTAGCTCAACCAATCCCAACCAACACACATTTGTGGTTGCTTGGGTCACAAGCAAGCTCACCCATTGGCCAACTTATTGGCCAATAGGGTAAGCTTCCCTCTCATCTCTCTCTTGCTCATTGTTTGTACTAAAGAGCCTCTTGGCTCATTATTCAATGTATCAATTCTCTCTCTTCTAACATGGTATCATGAGCTAATGGCTGACGCCTACCTCCCTCGGTCCTTAGGCCACCCTCTCCTCCCCGTTCCTCAGATCTAGCCCCACCCACGGAGCTGCCCTCCCTTCACGCGCCCTTTAGGCGCTGTCCTGTGCGCCCCCTAAGGCGCTGCCCTCCAAGGCACGTCCAGATCTGCAACTCCAGCGCCCAGATCTGCACTCCCCGCGCTCAGATCTGCAACTCCAGCGCCCAGATCTGCACTCCCCGCGCTCAGATCTGCAACTCCAGCGCCCAGATCTGCACTCCCTGCGACCAGATCTACTCCTCCCGCGCCTAGATCTGATCATTCCGCGCCCAGATCTGGATTCCGCGCCACCAGATCTCCTCCTCCCGCGCCCAGATCTGAACATTTCGCACCCAGATCTGCACTCCGCGCGCCCAGATCTGCACTCCGCCCGCCCAGATCCGCCCTCCGCGCGCTCAGATCTGCCCTTCGCGCAACCAGATCTGCCCTCCGCGCGACCAGATCTGCCCTCCGCACGACCAGATCTGCCCTCCGCGCGACCAGATCTGCCCTCCGCGCGACCAGATCTGCCCTCCGCGCGACCAGATCTGCATCTCCCGCGCTGAAATCTGACCATTTCGCGCCCATCTCTGCACGTCCCGCTCGTTTGCCGCG